CAAATTTCCCATTAAAAAGAATACCTGAACAGTGTTCCAAATAGCCACTGGCATCTTAATTTTCCATGGAAACCTCAAATGCTCGTGTGTGGAGGACAAGTCATTTTCAGTCAATTTTTCCAGACTACTTGTTAACAGTTATTGCTGTCCCAAAAGGTTGACAGCTTACATGATTGATATTTCATTTACTTGTCATCACTGGTGAGTAATGGAGAGGGCCATGGGTTTTTCTCTCTCTCTCTCTGCCCCTCTATTATATTTTTTTTTGGTAGGAAACAGTCTCATGTCTGTTTATTTTAGTTTATTATTCCAGAGAGTGTGTCATATATGTTTATGCTGTGTATATAGGTGTCTTTGGGTCACAGAATGCCACTAGGAAATGGTAATTAAAAGGTTTGTTTTTATCAAGCAGTATTGGGAGCAGGAGGTTCTTTCCCAGCTCCATAACTTTTAGGTGCTGGGAGCACATTTTTATGAACGGATATGAGGACTTGGGGGAGGATTTGACATGTTATTCATGACCCTCCTAATAAAAAATAAGTTTATGGGGTCCTTGTGACCCCTGGAGAAGCTCTTGATCATTTCCCAAAGAGGGGCAGTTCCTAAACTTTTGTCTCTTTGAAGTTGCATCAGTAAAAATTCGTGTTTTTAGGGAAACCATCAGTGTGAGGGAAACACCTGTGTTTGATTCCAGAGAGACTTGGGATTTTTCTCCTCCTTGACACCCAGCCTTGCCAGTTTGAACAGTATCACACAGGGCTGGCAACAGTGACGTGCTGAATTCTTAGACCACACCGGGCTGGTGAGAATGAGGATGAAAGCCAGAGGAGCCTCAGGGATTTCTGCCGTGGAGATCTGGCCCACAGCCAGCAGGTTTCCCTCAGAGGTGTTCAGGGATTGCAAAAGAAACGTTCTTTGTGATGTGCTTTCAGTGTTTATAACATGTGGGGATGGGAGTTGGGCAGGTTGGAGGCAGGAAATTCCCAAGCCGGGTCTGTCTTCTGCCCTGGGATGGTTTGGTTGGGGGGTTAAAGGGCCTGGCTGGGGAGTTCCCCCGTCCTCAGCACTGAGGGACAATTAAAGGAGGCTGATGAAGATTTCAGTTTGCTTAATCCAAAGGTTTATTTCTTCATTTAGTGCCACTCCTCATCCTCGTGCCACCTCTCAGGCTCCCTCGTCCTGCTTTACGTGTTTTGTGTCTTCATGGAATCCTGGAATGGTTTGGGTTGGAAAGGACCTTAAAGCCCATCCAGTTCCATCCCCTGCCATGAGCAGGGACACCTTCCACCAGCCCAGGTTGCTCCATCCTGGCCTTGGACACTTCCAGGGATCCAGGGGCAGCCACAGCTTCTCTGGGCAACCTGTGCCAGGGCCTGCCCACCCTCCAAGCCAAGAATTCCTTCCCAATATCCCATCTCTCCCTGCCCTCTGGCAGTGGGAAGCCACTCCCTGTGTCCTGTCCTTCCCAAGTCCGTCTCCAGGTCTCTTGAATCCCTTTTAGGCCCTGGAAGGGGCTCTCAGGTTTCCCTGGATCCTTCTCTTCTCCAGGTGAACAATCCCAGCTCTCCAGAGCAGAGGAGCTCCAGCCCTTGGATCATCTCAGTGGCCCGAGTGTCTTCTTGGGTCTTGATGTTCTCAGATCCTTTTCCATCCCTTTTTGCCCATTCTTAGCCTTTCTTTATCACTAAACATTCCCCCCAGATCACTTCCAGCAGTCCCTGTGGAGCCCAAGGGGTCGGGATGTCTGCAGTGATTTTCTGGAAGTGCTTTGTGTCCCCTCCGAGGGGACACACGTGGCACCTCTGCCTGTGTGGGACGTGACCCCAACTGCCCTGATGGTGCTTCACCACTGCAAATTCTTGGATAGTTTCCATATTCCCCTGGGATTTTCATGGAGTTTTCCTGATTGCACAGTCCTGGGTTGTGTTTACAGCACACCTTTGTTCCCACGTTTGGTTTTCTCGGCTCCTCCAGGTGCAGCACCTGCTGTGTTTGCTGTCAAGGTTCCATTTGCTCCCTCTGAAGTATTCCCAGCTTTCAGGAGAGCCTGGAACTTCCCCAGTTGATCCAGTAACAGATCCCTGTGCTGGGCACCACAGCCCCTTGGTTAAGTTCCTCTGTCCCACTTATTGTGGTAACAGCCACAGATGGTAAGAAACCATCTAAAGGCTGATTTGCACCGCGGCAATTAAAAAATAAATAAAAATACATTGAATTAAACAATCCAGAAGTGCTTTTACTGCTCATACATTACTGAGTCATCTCTTTCTTTAATCTCTTTGCAGTATTACTCCACTGTAATGGAGCAGCAAGTAAATGGACAGTTGATAGAGCCTCTCCAGATCTATCCAAGAGGTAATGCTGAACAAATTCTAATCAACAACAATGATAACTGTTGATGAAACAGTTCACTGGTATTTCTTTTTGGGGAGGTTTAAATGCACATAACATGATGTTTACCTCTTAATTTGGATAGGAGGATTCATTATTGTGGGGAGTGGAGGGAAAACTGCATTTATTGCATATAAAATAGCTGATTTCCTGGAGTAAATTAGACTAACGAGATTCGGTTTGCACAGTACATATTTAAGTACATTTAAAAAACTCATTGGTGAGGGTTCTGCCTGTATTCAAAGCAGATGAATAACTGAAGTTTTGGAGATACTTATGTAAATTGGGCTTTTCTTTTTTTAGATGTTTTAATATCATTAATCAGCCTGACAGACTTGGGGGATGTCACTGTCACCACTCATTTGGAAAACGGGAACGTGTCTGTCACAGGAGCTCCATCCATGACACGTTTTATCTGAGATCTGGGCATTTAGCAGCAATATCAAAATGTTCACGAGTGCTTTAATAGCTCTCCTGAACAGGGGAAGATGTAATCAATTCTGTGGACTGAGGCAATTAAAAAATAGGTCATCTACAACCTGCACAAAAATCCGTAGGCAGCTCGTTAGGTTTTTGGGAATGAACTCAAATAATGGTTAAGGAAAGCCCAGTGCATTACATAATCCCACTGATTCATTCAGATCTCAGTAGCCAGGTTTGGAATCTCTGCCTCTTTTAATTGATGGAACTGGAGAAGGTTTGAAATTCTCCGAGTAAAATCTCCCAGCAATAAATTAATTGAAATAATTAAAAATTAAACCCTTCTCACTTAACTGATATGATACAAATAATCATACTGTGAGGCTCCCAATTAAACATTTCTAGACTTCCATTACTTACAACTCTCTGAAGTTTGAATTGGGCAATTAAGCAAGAGCCTCCTCAAACACGTGCTAATCAGGTCTCCAAAGGAGCCTGGGTTTCCTGGTAGTTTAGTGTGATCCTGTGGAAAAGAGATGGGAATTCAAGGGGAATAGAGGATTGGTTTTCTGGCTCAGGATCTGATTTTGAGGGGCCTCCCAGATGTTTGAGCTGCAGAACTCCAGAGCCACCAGCAGTGAGATGTGTCCTCCTGAGAGCAGCTGTGAGAGGGAAGTGATCTCCTGCCTCTTCCCAGGCTGAGGTCATGGAATCATGGACTGGTTTGGGGTTGGAAGGGGCCTTAAAGCCCATCCCATCCCATCCAGGTTGGAGCCCAGGTTGCTCCAAGTTCATCCTTGGCCTTGGACACTTCCAGGGATCCAGGGGCAGCCACAGCTTCTCTGGGCAACCTGTGCCAGGGCCTCCCCACCCTCCCAGCCAGGAATTCCTTCCCAATGTCCCATCTATCCCTGCCCTCTGGCAGTGGGAAGCCATTCCCTGTGTCCTGTCCTTCCATCCCTTGTCCCCAGTCCCTCTCCAGCTCTCCTGGAGCCCCTTTAGGCCCTGGAAGGGTCTCCCAGTTCTCCCTGGATCCTTCTCTTGTAGCTTGGAAAAACTGATGTAGTGGATGATCCTTGTAGGTTGGGAATCCTTCTTGGAAATATGAGGCAGTTACATCTACTTTCTTTTTAATCAAACAGTTGCAGGAAGTTGTGGCAGGAGGTGCTGGCACAGCTTGGAGTTTAAAGGGTTGTTTTGTGATTACAAATCAGGTTAAACTTTCTAAATTCTCCTTTTGGGTCATTCCCGAAGAACCAGCTGAGTAGATTCTTATTCCTGCTGCTGTCTCCTTTTTCTGCCTGCTTTACACCCAAGGGGAATGGATGCACAGATCCAGGATTCTCTGTGCTGCTCTGGATGTGATCCCCCCATATTCCCTCCCCATTTTCACCGTGGGCTCAGCTCCCTGTTCTGCTGAGTATTTCCCTGTTTCCACTTACCCTAAATTGCTTCAGAGCTGAGTTTCATCTTTCCAAATCACCTCCTTAAAACACCTCTCCTTTCTAGGTTAGAGCTTTAAAGCCCAGACCGCCCCCCAGTTCTGCTGCTGCTCTGAAATATTGAACAAAATGTGCTTTCCTGCTCCTTTTTTTCCCTCCCTGTCTTCTTGTCCTGCCTCTCTAATGAACATCCCAAATTTTGTTGGCACAAGCACTTTCCTTCCCTGCCCTTTTGGCCATGTCTCTCCACGTTCAGCACTTTAAAGCCCCATCAAGAACGTGCAGCTCTTGTGCCTGTAATTTAAAGTTCTCCCTTTTAAGAGCTTTCTCTGCAAGTCCTTTGAATCCTTTTCCCTTTCTGCCCCTCTTCCTTCTGAGGAAGCCTCAGCCAGCTCCCAAAAATTCTCATCTTCCATAAAAAATCTTGCCAGGAGTAAATGTCCACGTGCCATCCTGTGTTACCTGGGCTGTGCTTCATAATTCATTTCATAATTTAAAGGCCTTTAAGGGGAAAAATTGGTATTTTGTCTATTTTTTTAATAAGTACCTTGTTGCTGTTTAGGTAATAAGAGCCAGAAATCTTTTTTATATTGAAAATAAACCTCTATGTGTGATATACATAAACAAGAGTGTATGTGTGTACATACACATATATCTATATTTATATATTTCTACCTGTATCTATCTGTCTATATCTATATCTATCTATTTATATCTGTCTATATCTATTTATATATTTCTATCAGTATGTATCTGTATCTATATCTTTATATATATCTTTATCTATATCTATATGTATATATAGATATATATCTCCCCTATCTGTGTTATATATATATATATCCCATTTGTAGAATACAAGCTGAATATCCCATTCATATATATATATAATAAAGATATATAATATATATAATATGTAATATAATAATATATATAATAAAATATTCTTTTAATACCACGTTCAAAATGTCAGTTTTAATCTGTTGAAAAAATATAACATGCTTATATATATTTATAATTTGTGGGTTTCTGATTGTTTGGGTTTTTTTGAGTATCATAATATTTTCCCTCTTTAAGATGCACGTGGTAATTTCTACTGTCATTTAAAGGCACATGGCCTGGCCCGAAGTGATGTGTTTAATAACTATCATCTGTGTCCTTCTGCCTAATAAATAGTTCTGCTTCCTGCTGTCAAAAAAAAAGGGGAGTGAGAGGCACGTGCAGCAGAGAAAGAGAAAAATCAAATTCCTCCCTCCTCAGACAATCAATCACCAGTGACAGCCCCTTTAACATACCATTTGTAGGGCACTGGAGTTTTCAAATGGGAACTGTCTGGAACAGGGAGCCTTTGTGGCTTTAACTGGTGACAAAAACACAGCCCTGAGTGAAGAGCAAGGAGAGGTTCAGGTGGAGAGGCTGGAGGAAAACCCTTTCTCCAAACCCAGCCATCGTCATGAAGAGCCACATTTGTAATCTGTGTCCAAAAATTGGCATTTTCTAGTCACTGTTTGCTTTTTTCAGGCTGTCTGCTGTTGCCCCTGCCATGTTTTGCCACATTTAAACCCAAACTGCAGTTGACAACGGGACTAATTCCTGACGTGTGGCAGCTGATTCCTTTAAAACACATCTTGCAAATATTGCTGTTAAATGCCAGGCCAAAAAAAAAACCACCCCACAGCGCGTGAAAATACAGTGACACAAGATTTTAATTTGAATTACAAAAAGCCTCTGATCAGTTCAGCCACCGGTTCTCTCCATATTTTTTTTATTTTTTTTTTTGGTGATGTGTTTTAAAGCAGAAATTAGAATTTCTATTACCCGGTGTCAGAAAGCTCTTAGCATTTATAAACGCTCACTCCTGCAAGTTAAAAAAAAAATCCTGCTTTGGTAATTCCCACCCTGGGTCTTGCGAGGCACTTTTCAATCATTTCTCTCTGCTAATTTTGGTGTCACCCTCATTTCTTTTGAAAAGATTCATTTTGAGCAAATTTGTAAATGGCCCTGATGTGTTCTACAATTGAGTCAATTACTGTTTCAGCCTGCAAACCTCCTGGGAAACGGAACATACATGGCCTGAAGGTACGAATTTCAATAATTGTTTCAGCAAACTTAGATGGATTTGTAATGCTGTGTTCCACTTATTGAAATGTCAAATAAAACTGCACTTTCTTGAGCTCTGACAAGCAGGTTTTTTTTTTTTATTATTATTATTATTATTTAATTTTTTTTTTTTTGGTGAGGGTGGGAGAAGGATTTATTTAAATGTTGTACTATCTGTGTATATATATATATATATAATATATAGATAGATAGATATAATTCTATTAAAATGGAACTGCCTTTCTTTTTGTTTTTAACCTATGTGAATCAGGTTCCTAAATTTCAGTGGTCAATTTATCAACTAATGCTATCTGTGTGTGTATATATATGTGTGTATATATATATATGTGTGTGTATATACATATGTGCATATATATATATGTGCATATATATATGTATATACACTATATATAGTTTTATTAAAATGGAACTGCCTTTCTTTTCGTTTTTAACCTCTGTGAATCAGGTTCCTAAATTTCAATGGTCAGTTTATCAACTAATGCTGTGTATATATGTGTGTATATATATATACACATGTATATACACTATATATATATATATAGTTTTACTAGAATGGAACTGCCTTTCTTTTTGTTTTTAACCTCTATTAATCAGGTTCCTAAATTTTAATAGTCACTTTATCAACTAATGCTATCTGTGTATCTATCTATCTATCTATCTATCTATCTATCTATCTATCTATATATATATATATAATGTGTGCATATACACTATATATATATATATGGTTTTATTAAAATGGAACTGCCTTTCTTTTTCCTTTTAACCTCTGTTAATCAGGTTCCTAAATTTCAATAGTCATTTTATCAGCTAATGCTACCTGTATAGATACACACTTACATATGTGTATATACACTATATATATAGTTTTATTAAATTGGAGCTGCCTTTCTTTTTGTTTTTAACCTCTGTGAATCAGGTTCCTAAATTTCAGTAGTCACTTTATCAACTAATGCTATCTGTGTATCTATATATATATATAATGTGTGCATATACACTGTATATATATATATATAGTGTTATTAAAATGGAGCTGCCTTTCTTTTGCCTTTTAACCTCTCTTAATCAGGTTCCTAAATTTTAATAGCCACTTTATGAACTAATACCTGCCACTACTTCAGAGCTTTAACCCCCCCCATATTCATTTGAATTCAGCCATTTAAAGCCCCACCACACTGTTTGATTCCAGTCATTTCTAAGTGGAGAAGGCACCGCAACGAAATCATTTGAGGGTTTGGATTCCTTCAGCTCAGCTTGTTGCTCGTGTCACCACACGTAGGAGGCTCCAAATGCACCAAAGGACTGTTTAGTTTTTAAAATGTGCACAAATGATGGATTTATCCCCTCTCTTCCTGCTCTGTTGAAGGTGGGGAGGTTTTTGCAGCCCAGGAATCCTGGAGCCTGCTAACCTACATACACACTCCAACCATTGCTGTGCCTGGCAAGCAGCTAATTAACCTTCCTCATGAAATGAGAAATCCGTGGCAAATTACAGGTTAATTAGAATGGTGTCCTCTGAACACAGTGACTGAGAAAAGATCCTTTCCCTGCCTGCAGGTAAATACTCGAGCAGGGGCTGCCAACAACAGCGGCTCGGCCGTGGCCGATTCCCTCCCCAGCAATAGGTAAGAGCCGGGCCCCTGCTTTGTGTTCTCACCTTTTCTCACACCAAAACACCCTCCTGTGTGCTTGTTGCCAACAGTGACATTGGTGGTGAATGACTTTTTCCACCAGTGCCGAGGTGGGGAAGGTGAATTGCCTGAATTTGTGGTGCTCGGGCTGCTGGGAGCTCCACGAGAGTTTTCTTGTGGAAAAAAAAAAATTAAGTGTTTTCTGACTCTTTGGGGTGGTTTTGTGCTTATAAAGCATTGAGGTGCTGTTTGGGGTTGAACTAATCAGGTATTAATCAATAATTAGTTGATCTAATGGCAAGGTTTGTGTGTTGAAGTCTTCGTTGCTTGATCTCGTTCCAGGATTCTTTGCTTTTAAAATACCCCATTCTTAGGTTTGCAGTCATAAATAACCCAAATCATAAACCTCTGTAGGTTTATTATTTATTTGAAAATTCCTTACAGCTTAGGTGCCCTGTTTCATACAGTTTCACCAAAGTTTTGAAGTCCATCTCCCTTATTTTTCTTTTCACACCCCAGTCCTAATTTGAAAACCCATGTTAAGGTCTCAAAATGCAAGAGAACTAGTTCTCTTTTTTTCCTAGAGATCTGATTTCTAAATGCTGGAGCTTAAACTCCCTTTTATTCCATGAAGTCATTATTCTGCATACTGATGTTAAAAGGAATGAACAAAAACCTTGTGTGTTCTTAAGAAAGCAATAAGGAAAGTCTGACTGCATGTTCTTCATACAAGAGCATATTTGAACCGTGGGAATAGAAACCTCTGGAGGCCCCTTTCAACCTAAATTATTCTATTATTCTAATAAGCATGTAATATTGCATTTATCTGTGCATCAGCATCTGCTGCCTTTGCTCTCTGAGAGCATTTTGTAAAATAAAAAGAGATTAATTGCCAAAGAGAGATGAACACGATCAGAGACACAGTTGGGCTGCATTTGATGGGTGAATTTTGGGTGCCTGTTCTGTTAACACCCCAAGGTGGTGGGACAGTCCCCAGATCCCTCTTTTCCTCGTGGGAATGATGGGATGTGGGTGCCCATTGACGAGGAGTTTCCACGGGAGTTCTGCCCCGCTGGGAACCCCATCCCAGCACCACTAAAACCAGTTTGCTGCTCCCTTTAGTGGCTTTGCTAATTGTGGAGCTAAAAAAAAAAAAGCGAGCCAGGTTTGCCCCATCCCTTGGGGGAGATTTGCTCCAGGTTTTAGTGGTGATAATCCAACCCAAAACTCCATAAAGGAACTAAATCTGAATGGCTTTGACCCGCAGCCCTGCCAGTCTGAACTAAATAAAGCTGTTTTTCTGTGCTCTGGCTTTTCAGCACTCGCTGTACTTTGAGCTTGTTCTTAAAGTGCATTGCAAAGGAAGCTTCTAGAAGCTTCTTGTCACCTTATTTGGTGGTTAATTGCCAATCCTTTTCCCAGCCCTTCCGCGCTCGGAGTTTTGTTTTTGAAGTAATTGAAAGTCTCTCTTTGTTTCATGTTCACAAATTGTTAGTCATGAAAGATGACAAGATCAACTTATGTTTCCTTGGAAAACTTAATTTTGCTTTAAAGTAGTCGTGGGAACAAGAGGCCTATTAAAGAACAAAGCCACCAAATATGAAATCTGTGTTTTCACTGTTCCTGTTAATAATGATCTGTGATCAAGACACGTGCACGGGCCTTTCAAGAATATATTATTTTGTACTTTTTTTTTTTTTTCCCAAACTTCAGTAATAAGAACAGAATGTCCCTTTGAGATGAAGTTTTTGCAGGCATTTTGCTGCCCAGGCAGTTTGTTGTGTTGAAGGTACAAGGAACAGAGTTTGTCAGGAGAGGAGGTGAAAAGCAGCGTTTTGTGAGTGGGTGGAAGGAGTTTGAAGCTGTTGATGGTTTTACCTACAAAACTCACCAGGCTGAGAGTTTGTGGTTTGTTAAAGTTCTCCCAAAAGGGAAAACTGAGTTGTTTTGTGTAAGATTATTGACGTGGGAGTAGATTCTTCCTGAAAAAGCACAGGGAGTGCAGCAGGTTGAGCTGGAATGGAAAGCTGGACTCATCTCAGGGATTTAGACACGTCCCTGAGGTGCCTAAATCAGGAATTTTACTGTTTTGCTCACCGTGCTCTGGTCTGCACTCATCTGAGGTAGTGGGGCAAAAAGCCTTCTGCTGCAGGAATTATTGAGGAATAATCCCTTAAGGAGCTGTAAAACAAGATATGGCACCTGAAAACTAGATGTGAGCCATATTTTCCTGTTGTTTTCTGAACCACCTGATGTGCCAGAGTATCTTCCTTTCATTTTACTGATGAACAATAGGTTGTGTCTCAGAGGGTGGTGTAGTCAGGTGTCTAAACCAGCCAGTTGGTAAAGGTGAAAAATATATTGATTTTCTGAAGTGTTCACTGCTTCTCCATCCCTGCTGTCTGCACTTGGGCAGTGCTGACTGGTGTCCACTAGATCTCCTCCTCCAGGTTTCACCTGCTCAGAATAATGGAACCAGGAATTTGTGGCTTGTGATTTCCCTTGATCTGACGGAGGGAAACGACCCCGTCGTTAAAAATAATCACCTCTCGTTTTTATTCCAGCTTGAAAAAGTCTTCTGCAGAGCTGAAGAAAATACTTGCCAATGGCCAGGTAGGTGCTTTGGATGGAACCTTGGCTGCCTGGTTCTGCAGTGATTGGCACAGCACAAATAGGGGCAGAGATGTTTACTGCTCATTTAGCTGTGATGTGTTCTTTTAACACAGGGCTTGGAGGCACCATGAAAACCTTCATGATATGAATGAGTTGTGTGTCCTGATTTACTTTGATTGGCAGAGCAATTTGCTTCCCATTTCTCAAAATGTGCTAATCAGATTTAGCTCCAAATAGATGGAGGCCCCTCGCACGTGTTGCGCTGCCGCCACAATTCCAGGGGAGAAAGTTAATCAATTTTGAATAACTGAGTCAACTCCTCACTTAGAACGACCTTCGTGCTTTCTAGGGCAGAAGACACTTGAATGTTTAACAGGTTTTTGCAAAGAACTGCTCTGGAATCACTTTAGAATCATGGAATGGTTTGGGTTGGAAGGGACCTTAAAGCTCATCCGGTCCCACCCCTGCCATGGGCAGGGACACCTTCCACTAGCCCAGGTTGCTCCAAACCCCGTCCAGCCTGGCCTTGGACACTTCCAGGGATCCAGGGGCAGCCACAGCTTCTCTGGGCACCCTGTGCCAGGGCCTCACCCTTCTCCCAGAGAACAATTTTTTCTCAATCTCCCATCTAACCCTGCCGTCCTTCATTCTGCCACTTCATGTGACGTTAAATTAATGGATGAACTTGTTTTAAAGGTCTTCTCCAGCCTAAACCATTCTGTGATTCTATGTGGTAACTTCTTTATAAAAAGCAAAAAAAAAAACCCTGGTAAACCCAAAAAAACCCCAGAGTTGTAGAAAATTGTCTTGAATTCCTTTCCCTTCCTGCTCCAGGCATTCAGCTCCTGGCACTCAAAAGTGAAAGGTTTTAACGTAACAATTGCTGGACGAGCAGACAAACAGCACAGTTATTTTGTGCTTGTTTTGGGCAGGCTTGTAATGACATTAAATATGCACTGTTAAATTAAACCACCTTCAAAGAAGCCCAGATCCTTCAGCAGCAGCATAAATATGTTTTAATGTTTGTCACAGAGAGCCCTTTGCAGCCTCGGAGGCCGGTGCCTGTCGTGGGCTCAGACTTGCCTATTAGGCTCTATTGACTGAGACATCTGTGTCACTGCAAATAAAAGACTCTTATTGATTTTCTTAACTGCTGTTCACTTCCCCTCCATGTTTCGAAGGCTGAAATCTTAATTATCTCAGATGCCTATTCAGTGCCTTCACACAATGACCTCTCCAAGCCTCGTTGGCATTTCATGAATCAAGGAGTTGGTAGTTGAGCGTGTCAGGAAGATGAAGGCTGAGCTTCCTCGTGTCCTTCAGCCTCACCTGGAACACTGGGAGGGGGAACAGATGAGAGACCTCCTCAAAAATAGGATTTGGACACCCCAGTGCCACTGAATCCCTGGAATGCAGCTTGGAAATGTGGTTTTAGGCTTGTCAGCATCCCTTTATGTCCAGGTTTAGTGTGATGTTCCCTCACATCCAGGTTTTAGTTTGATGGTCCCTCACATCCAGGTTTTAGTCTGATGTTCCCTCACATCCAGGTTTAGTTTGATGGTCCCTCATATCCAGATTTAATTTTTTTGTTCCCACCAGGTGGATTTGCTCATATTTCAAAATTAGAGAACCAGACAATACATTTCTCTTGATGACCTGAAATTCTGGCAGTGCCAGCAGCAGGCAGCTGAACTTCTCTAAGTGGTGTTGGTAATAACTCCCATATCAATGATTTTTTTTAAAAGGTAGAATTGTTGAATGTGAGTAAAAGCTCTTGTGCAGAGCTGAATTTGGGCACCTTATGTGTTCAAAACAAGAAAAACAAGTGGTTTGTGTGCCCTGCAGTGGATTCACAGATTTCTCCCCAGTGTTTTAGAATTTTGGAACGGTATAAAAAAAACCAAACTTCTTGTTATGATTTTAAAAATGTTACTTAAACCCATTAAAAAAGAAATAAAATAACTAAGTTTTAATACTACCTTTAATGCTACTTTTTATTCACCCTGATGGGAGTTAATCTGCCTTCTGTTGAGAGCAAATGATTTTTGTTGTGTTCTGCAAAATTTGATCCCAGATCCACAACTGGAGCTGGGTTTCCAGTAGTAACTTTTAACTTTTCCTCCTTTTGAGGGGGATTAAGTCACACTTATTGTTACTTAAATATGGCCTGGGCTATTAGTTTTGATTATTTTTTGGCAGTTTCTGCTTTCAGGCATCCCTAATGATATTCCTCTAGTAGTTTCCATTTAGGTTTAATAAGGAATTCATATTAATCATTAAAAGAAGGGGACATGATTCTTCAAGATAATCAAATATTGACAGGTTAGAAATAGCTTTCTGCCTGGGTTCATTGATATAGGTGATGTGATATAAATATTTATTTCTTTTCTGTCACTCAGAGTAAATGCCACCAATTGATTCAGCATTGATATAGTGTCAACAGTTCATAAGAAACATTTGACTGGCTCGTGTTTTCCGATTAGTCTCTGCTCTATAAAGTGGGATTTACTAAATCTCCTCAATTGTCTGCTCATGGAGTGTGACTGTTGGCTGAATCCATGATTGCTTCCATTTGGGAAGCGAAGGTGCGGCCGCGGGATTGTGGCAGCCCCTGCACATCAAATCAGGATTAATTGGGCATTTTGCTTTTAATGATTTACAACAGGCAGACACTTGATTTCTGCCCAACCCAGGGATGTTTTGTTTGCTGCTTCATAATTGAAGCTTTTGCTTTTGCATGAATTCCCTTCGTGTCGGCGGAGGCCAGTCCAGGTTGGGTTTGCAGCTTTAATATTCCAGTCCTTCCTGGGGAGTTCATTGGTTTTGTGTTGGTGTTTTATGATGGAGAATCCAGCTTTCCCAGTTAAAATAAATAAATCACCCTGTGGTTTTTTGGCACCTTTATTGGAGCCAGTAAATCACACTTTATCTCTCCGTCCGCTGCCGACAGACGCTCCCTCCACCCCAGTATTCCTGTTTTTGACCTGGGTTCTGGTTGCTGTTTTTCTGGGATATCACCAGGCTCAATCCTCAGAGGATGGAGCTGCTCCTATCCCCATCTTTTAGGGAATGATGTGGAGAAAATACTCCCTTTTCCCAATGAGCAAAAAACGGAGAAAAGAGGAAATGCTTTGTCTCCAATTCGGCTCAATTTATTGTTTATAACTTATAACTTTATAATCGCCAAAAATTCTCCTTTTTCGCCCCCAGGAAGGGAAGATAGGAGTTTCTCCATGGCTTTATGGGTTCATTGGGTTTCTCTTCAGAGTTA